CATAACGGAACCGGACGATGGTCAATGTACGGCACGCACGAATTCAATGTATCAGTATATCAAAATAAACCTATTCAGGGATCTGTCGTATCAAATAATATTCATATTTTCAATTATTCAATCTATATCAATTGTCGGATAATCGGTAATCTATAATCGATACAATCTATATTTCATTTGTCGTGTCGATTCTATCAATACAACAGTAATTCCAATCAATATCGGTTTGCCTGAATCAATACAATCCTATATCAATTATCAGTGTCAATCTCTACGACTCCCATACGCATTCCATATCAAATATTTAGTGCCGATGCGGTTATCATGAATCAATTTCAAGCCGAGAAATCAATCGGAAAAAAGGCAACTTACGATAAATCAATAAATCCGTCAAATCGTATTCAATCAATCAAAAAATCCCAGTCTTACTATTCAAAAGTCAGGATCAAATCAAATCGGAAAAAAGGGACAATACGCGATGCACTAGTAGGCAAAGTCGAATCAATGCATAAATCAATGGTATCAATGAATCTATGGAATCCTATGCCGTCACATGCTCCATTCAATCATCAATTTAAAATCAGATAGTAGTATCGAAGCTCAATGACAACAATGAAATCAATCAATGAAATCAATTGCAATAAACGATGGACGATAAAGCAATCAATTCGAATCAATAAATCAATGGCATGAAACAGGAAATTCCATATGAATGCACATGCATCCAAACATTATGAGTGCTTATCTCGGAACACAGCCACAAGAAACCACTAGCTATGGATCAAACCAGGTTTACTTGGTATATCAATAGTGTTTTGTAGACATCCGTATTGCTGTTGTTAGATATCTGCCACCGTTGTTCTAATCTAAGAGAAGGTGTTTTCGACTCTTTTTTGCCGGGTCGCGACTCCGACCCTGTCGGGCCATATAAAACACTCGCTTTTAACCTCCCAAAAACTCGTTATATCGCATGACTTAATGGTCTATGATTTAAAGGAAAGCCCGATCGGCCACCATCCTGTTACAGGTCAATATCTTATCTTCAACCACGTTCAAACCAGGTTCCCACTTGTCTTTTCAGTATCAATCAGGTCAATGCAAATAATTCGATTGCACATAATCAAAGCAGATTAAAAAAAAAAATCCTCAAAAAACGGATTCAGTAATTCAATAGTCATTGCATCTTATATCAACTCAATATCTAGCAATTTTCTTTAACCAAAATCCAGAAATCGTTACGAAAATCGGGGCAGCTTGTTAGCACACTTCAGGGTTAACGGCAGTCGTCGTCAAAATTTACCACAAAAATCTCCAAAAAAATTACAAAATGCACCAAATTGAATCGAGGGGAACGTGCCACAGCAACATTCTAAAATTCTTCTAACTGCTCAAACAATTCGCGACATCATTAATAAAATTGCCAGTCAAATAAAAAACTTCCGCACGAGTCAAACGGAAACCGGACGCGATACTCCGCCCAAGGGAAAAAATAATCAAAAAATACTCGTGCAGGAAAATAATCCGTCTTAAAAAAAAATTTACCAAAAGTAGCGGTGAAATCTTTGCCAGGTTACTAAAACCGGGAACTGGAAAAAATCGATCCCTATACAAAAAACACAAATCTGAGCCCCCATTTTTCGCGCAAAAAACTCCAAAAATCTCTGAAACAGAACGAGGGTTCCGGGAAATTCCTTACCAGTGCAGACAAACGGAAATATCCAACAGCAACGAAATGACGATAAATCTGGCTCCGCGGACCCCTCGGAAATCGGGGAACTTGCTTCCTTTTGCGTTAATTTCCGGTCCTTCCCTCTCCTCAAAATATACTGTTTATAAAAATTGTTTTTCTATCTCCTCAAAACACAGAGCTCATTTTCTTATTATCATTAGCTGGGATCGGCCCGGCATCTGTCACATCGTCCCGGGTTACAACGATCAGCGACAAAATTGATCGTCCTGGACGGGACTCCCAGAACTTATTTCTTCAGGACGATATTTTTCTACAGTGCGAGATCGGGCCTGTCGCAAACCGATCTCCAAAATCGGAACCTGGACGATCCTGCAGAAAAATATCACTTTTGCCGTAGTAGCAAGGCTACTCAGCGAACCAGCAAAGGAAGCGAAATTTGGTCTCACAGAGAGCGCCTCAAGTGGTTGGGCTCCGGCGAAACAACGGCGTTAGGCTGGGTGGGTCCGGCGGAGTGATTTACGGGTGAGGGCCTCAAGGTGGTGGTCGAAGGTGAAAGGCAACGACGATCAGAGTGGTGGTGATCGGGCACGGTAAGTCGGCGGTGGTCGAGGATGGTAAGCGGAGCAAGAATGGATCTTTCCCGATCTCTCTCTCTTTTTTCCTTAGGTATCCCTTCCTTTCAAAGAGGAGAGAGCTCCTAATTTTAAGTCAGAATATACTGGGCATTATGTGCTATTGCCTCGT